GAAAATATAGAAGACCCTTTTTCTTTCATATCGATGACGTTCGGCGTAGAAAAATCCATCTGCACTACCGGCGAAACATAGAAAGTCCATTTCTATTCCTACCGACCGGCCTCGGCGGAAAAGGCTCCATCTCGTATATCGAGAAAATGTAGGAGCGTGATTTCCATTCTGAGCGACATCTCAGTCGAGAAAAATCCTTATCATAAGGTGCGTTGGTTCCAGCAAATCAAAGGAAGATTATAGATTGGCTAGCTGCCCATTGACCCGTGAATGATTGACCAGATAAGCACCAAAAAACGAGCTTTTCCATCTATAGCCGACGCACTTTTGTCTGTCTCAATTACATAGATCCTTCAGAAGGGAGATTTTTTTTATTTTTTGCTCTTACAATAACTGAAACTAACAACGGAGATAAGACTCCGTAGCAGTACCGAAAAGAGGGGAAAGAAAAGTCGGGAGACAATCCTTCCAGAAGAAGGGTCCCGACGCCGACTTAGCCCGACCAGCAAGAAAATGGGCGACAAAATTCTGTTCCCTAGCCACATGACTACAAGACCCACAATTCAGTTTTGACAGAAGAGATAAAATGTCCATATAAACTTGATGTAAATAGTCATTTGGAGATAGCTCGTTCAGTCCGGTAATTACTAATAGGGTATCTGTTTTCGCGTATTGAATTGAAAACCCCCAATCTAAAGCAAAGCGAAGACCAAACCTGAGGGCCATGGCCTCGGCCGCGGCAGGTGCAAATGATCCTGGAATACAAACTTCCAAGGCCGCCCAACACATTCCATTTGAGTCGCCTATCCAACCGCCCAGACCAATCGTTGAATTCCGAACTGCGGCATCGCAAAACAGGGTGAAACCATTATGACAATTGCCTGGGCCAACCCAGCTAGCAATAGATGACGATAGCTTCTTACGATCTAAACCAAAACGCCCCGATCTCACTTTGTCTGCCTCCTCTTCCCATGTAATCGCAACTGTCCAAGCTTGCTCCACTGATCTACCTTGCAGGCCGTGTTTAATACGATTCCGCTCATGCCAGATAATCCACAATAAGTGGGCAAAACTTGCAAAGTCTTCCCAACGAACGAAGCCAAGCGAAGTTCAGTCATAGAAGTCGATTTCGGCCATTTCAAAGCAAGCCTATTGCTATTGGCTCAGCTACCTATTAGAAGGTCTTCAGGTTTCTCAATTACATGGATCCTTACATAATGTTCTATTCAACTGAACTTTCAAAGTGAATAGGAACGAAGCGTAGCACAATAGATAGGCCTTCCGCCCCCTGACGAAGTCGTGATGGTGAGTTTGTTGTATCTTTAAGAGGTCTCGGCTTTTTTGTGTTGCTGCTACAATCGGTATAAGAAGAGACCTATTTGTTCTTTAGGAGTACGGACTCAACAAAGTAAACTGCAGGTCTTTCTCTTTTAAAATAAAGCGAAAGGGTTGGTGTGGCCAGCAATATGGCACGAGGCACTTGCAACATCATCATATGCGACGTATACGAAGGGCCACAAGAAGGCGGACATCAAGGCAGGGAAGAGCTTTCAGCCTCCCCTGTTCCTTTTCCCTAGGTAAGATGACCACAAGGGATGCGACCAAAAAAATGCTACACCCTATTCTCGCAAGAAGAATACCAGTCCCTCGCAAGCACAACAAAGCAAGCCCAATTCGGCCAATTCTTTTAACAAAGTCGGCCGAGCGTCAACTTGCTTTGACTTTATGCTCGGAATACCGCCAACCGCTCTGTCGGTGCGTGACAGCAACTGCCGATCTTGCGAGGGTGGGGGAAGTGGAAATAAGGGAGCCCTCGCTTGTCGTTCCGATGAGTGGGACCAGGTGTTCCGGGGCTTAGTGTTATAGACAATTCTAGCAGGTAAATCACTCCTAAAGGAGTTCAAAACAGGTCAAATCGGGCTTTTCAAGCCCTTCTTTCCATCTTATCGCCCTTTTAAAGGGCTCATCTCTTATCGAATGAGTTCCTCATTCTCTTACTTCTTACTCTTATTTACCTTCTTTAACTAACTGGTGCTAGTTCTATTAGTAAAGGAAGTTTGGCCCCTACTATTTCTATCGCGGGGGCCTTAACTCATCTTGGATTACAGAAAGTCGATATTAGCATTCTCCTTTCTTCATCCGCTAGCTGCATCTTGGCTTTCAGCCGCTAGCTACAAGTATAAGGAAAGGTAAACCCCTTACTGCATTCGTCATAGGATTCCTCATGCCGGGGTTGGTTAGCTACAAACGGTTTATCGGGTTCGGGATAAATCCCTCTCCCTCTCCAGACCAGAAACCAGAGTAAGCGAAACTAATTTGAGCGAAGACATGATAAGGAAGCGAAGCTCAAACCAATGTGAGCGAAGACATGTGAGCGAAACTAAACCAGGGTTACGAACT